TTCTCCATCCCACCCAGAAACCTTTACGGTGTTGGGATCAGAGAGGAGTCCCAGCCTGCCCCCATGCCCCTCGTAGCCCCATCTACAAGGGCAGGGACTGACAGATCAGGCGCCTCCGGGCTGGGAACCCACACCTCCTAACTGTGGGGAGGGGCTCCTGCTGCCACCCGAGCACCTGGGTTAGTGTAGCCACGCCCTGCAGAACTCCGCCGGCTCCAGCAGAAGCAGCAATTCACGTTCACCTGCAGCCCACACTTCAGGATGGCAGCTGTGGGGACAACGGGAGGCTGCGTTTCTCAGCCCCGGGTGCCCCCAGGGGCCCTTCCTGGGCAGTCCAGCAGCAACGTGGTTCGTGGCCCCGCGCCAAGCCCAGGCCCTGCCAGGCCTGCTCCCCGGTGTTCCCTTTCCTGTCAAGGCCAAGTTCGGGACGGGTCTCCCCAGCCTCACTCAGGCCGGAACCCTCTCCAGCCAGCGAGGCTCTTTACCAGCAGAACGGCTGGGCAGCTCTACCTCTCATCTCCATCCCAAGCTTACCCATCCGCACCGCCCGGGGGCAGCTCCGGGACAGGCCCTCGGGAACCCGTGACCACTCACGCCGCGGGGGCAGGGGGTCGGGACTCGCTCGGGTCCACTGCAGGCTCCGCGCCGGGCACTGGGGCTCGATGAGGCACTCGCAGCCCAGGGCCTCCAGGGCCTCCATCAGGACGTCGGCACCGGCGTCTTCCAGGAAGGCTGGGACCGGGCAGAGGAGTGAGATCGCTGCCTCCTGCCACCCTCGTGGGCGCCCTACCTGGGCTGGGGGCCCGGGCCGGGGAGTCTGCATTCGGCGCAAGCCCCCGACTGGGAAGCAGGTCCGGCCCCAGGGCTCTGAGCGCGCGCGGCGCCCAGTCCGACGGAGAGTGCCGCCGGCCGGAAAAGGCCTTTCCTCCCCGACCACTGCCCGCGCGCTCCGCGCACCTGGGTCCACGCGCACCGCAAGGCGCCTCAAGACCTGCTCCGGCCGCAGCAGCCGCAACGCCTCGGCCGCCGCCCTGCGCTCCCAGCTGGGTCCGGGGCTCTCGCGGCGGCCTCCGAGTGGGCGGGGCCCTCGGTGTCGGAGTCCGAGATCTCCCAGGTTGCAGGTCGCCACCGGCCGCTCCGGCCGCGGCGAGAGGTCCCCGCCCTCCCGGGTCCAACCCGCGCCATGGCCAGGACAGCTTCTCCTTCGCTTCGGTCGCGCCCGAACACTTAGCCTGAGACACCAGCCTCTTCCGGTGGTGGGCGGGCCTGGGGGCGCGCGGTGGCAGCGGCTTCCGGCCGGAGCGCCGAGGAGTTGGACCCACATGGCGCGGAAGAAGGTGCGTCCGCGGCTGATCGCGGAGCTGGCACGCCGCGTGCGCGCCCTGCGGGAGCAGCAGAACCGGCGCGCGACTCGCAGCTCTACGCCATGGACTACGAGTCCCTGACGCGGCCGTTCTCCGGACGGCGGCTGCCGGTCCGGGCCTGGGTCGACGTGCGCCGCGAGAGCCGCCTCCTGCAGCTGCTCAACCGCCCTCCCGCTCTTCGGCTGGGCCGCCTGGTCACGCGCAAGTCCTGGCTGTGGCAGCACGACGAGCCGTGCTACTGGCGCCTTACGCGGGTGCGGCCCGACCACACCGCGCAGGTGCGTGCACACGTCGGCAGCCCCCCTCCTGCAGCCGCCGGGTCTCCCCTCCCGGGCGGGCTCGCGGGGCGGCCCCGCCTCCCCCGTTTCTGCAGGTTTGTGGGGTTGAGGCTCCCCTGCTGACCTCGGAGGCCGCGAGCCTTGCGAGCTGACGACCCACTTTCCCCTGGCTTTGCAGAACCTGGACCACGGGAAGGCCTGGGGCATCCTGACCTTCAAAGGTAAGGCTCGGGAGAGCAGGTGCCCGGCGGTCATTGCCGGCCGCCGAGGACACAGCACGTGAGTGCAGGACGCCTCTTTCCTTCGCCAGGTAAGACGGAGAGCGAGGCGCGGGAGATCGAACACGTCATGTACCACGACTGGCGGCTGGTGCCCAAGCACGAGGAGGAGGCCTTCACCGCGTTCACGCCGGCGCCCGAGGACAGCCTGCCCGCCGTGCCGTACCCCCCGCCTCCTCCGGGCCATGATTCTCGCACAACGACAGAAAAATGGAGACACGAGCGCCGAGGAGCCCATGCTGAATGTGCAGGGGATACGCGTGGAACCCTGGGACTACCCTGCAAAACAGGAGACCAAAGGAAGGGCCAAGGGCACCCGGGTCTAGAACGCCAGAGCCGGCGGGTGGCCTGAGGGGCTGAGGCCGCGGGGACCTTGCTGGTGAAAGAAGCCATCCTTGCGTTGCACCTGAGTCCGCCCCGTGACGTGTTCTGACGGGCTGCCTCGTAGTGGACAGGGCTGGGCAGATCGCCAGCTGTCTTTTCCTCCGGCCCTGCCGCCCCCACAGCCAGCTCGGAGGGCACGCGGGGGAAAGCCGGAGGTGCTGGCCCCTTCCCCCATTGGAGCTCTTTCTGGTGGGATCCAGGCAGAAACTAGGGAGTAAGAAAGAAACGAAAGGAAACAAACGATAAATAAAGGGAAATAGAAGATAAACACGGGCCAGGGTTGCGTTTTATTTGCGCGCTCTCTGCAGGACCGGGGAGAGGCTGACGCCGTGGTCACGGCCCTGGTCTGGGGGCGGGGCGGTGCGGGAGCAGGGCGTCGCGTGGGTGGAACCACCTGGGCGGCTTGGGGCGGGTACAGTTAAGAGTCCGAGCCACTGGAGGAGACTTGGCCTCCGCAGCTGCTCTCCGGCCCCCTACGGCTGCTGGGTTCCGGGGTGCAAGCAAAGCGGTCCGCGGAGGCCGCCGTGCCGGGTCCGGCCCCTTTAAGCGCAGGCCCCGCCCCAGGCGCCGCCGCCCCGCCCCGCAGAGCTCGCTCGGGCGCCCGCCATCATGATCTGCTTGGTGCTGACCATCTTCGCCAACCTCTTCCCCGCGGGTGTGAGCGGCGCGGCGCGGCGCGTGCCGGGGTCGGGCGGGCAGTGCGGGGCTGGCCTGACGCCCGGTCCCCGCCCGCCCCGCAGCCTGCACCGGCGCACACGAGCGCACCTTCCTGGCCGTGAAGCCGGACGGCGTGCAGCGGCGGCTGGTGGGCGAGATCGTGCGGCGCTTCGAGAGGAAGGGCTTTAAGCTGGTGGCGCTGAAGCTGGTGCAGGTCGGGGCGCGGGGCGCGGTGGAGGGACGGGGTGAGCGGGCGCGGGGCGGGGACCTGGGGACGCCTGGGTCCCAGACGCGGGCGCAGGCGGCCTGACCCTTTCGCAGGCCTCCGAGGAGCTTCTGCGCGAACACTACGCCGAGCTGCGCGAGCGCCCGTTCCACGGCCGCCTGGTTAAGTACATGGCCTCCGGGCCGGTGGTGGCCATGGTGAGTACCTGGGAAGCGGGCGGGCGGCCCCGGGACCTCCGCCTCCGCGTGACACCGCCCCCGACCCTCCCGCACAGGTGTGGCAGGGGCTGGACGTGGTGCGCGCCTCGCGGGCGCTCATCGGGGCCACGAACCCGGCCGACGCCCAGCCCGGCACCATCCGCGGGGATTTCTGCATCGAGGTTGGCAAGTAAGGCCGGACCCGGGGACGGTCCCAGCCCTGTCTGGCCTGCGTGGGACCCGTGCCCGAGCTCTCCTTCCTGCGCTCACGCGCGCCTCTTCCTCTCAGGAACCTCATTCACGGCAGCGACTCGGTGGAGAGTGCCCGCCGCGAGATCGCGCTCTGGTTCCGCGCAGAGGAGCTCCTGTGCTGGGAGGACAGTGCCGGGCACTGGCTGTATGAGTAGCCCGGTGGGGCACCAGCCTCCTCCAGGGCCCAGGTGGCCAGGCTTTCGGACCCGCCCTGCAGCACTTTGAACGTCCCTTCTGATGGGATGTTGAACATTTGTCAGGACGGTGCATGGAGGGTGGCATGGGACCCCCCAATCCCTGGCGTACAGGGCTCACCTGGAAACGTGCCAGGACCCTGTCCTGGCGCCCAGCCCAAAGTGGTCCAACATTTCTTTTTATAATAAAGTCCTAGTTCTCGTGTGGGTTTGGTCCCGGAACAGGCAGCTACGGCGTTAAGACGTTTATTACATACAGAGCAGATATGTGGGTTTGCTTGCAGGACCAAAGCCTGAGGAGAATCGTCACCCCTCCCCCAGCCGCCCCATCCGTCAGCCGGGAGTCACTTCCAGATCCTGGGGGAACAGACGAGGGACCGGACGTACATCACAGTGGAGGTGGCAGGGTCGTGGGGAGAAGCCAGCAGCACAGCGGCTGCAGCCCACGGTGGCCGGCAGGGCTCATGGGGCAGCTCCCCAAGATCTGTGCTTCTCTGGTTGGGGATGGGGAGGGACTGGGCTGCCCTCGTTGGGGCCTCCCGGACAGGAGTGCAGTGGGCCTGGAAGGTGGGAGTGGGCCAGCGAGGCCCGGCTGGGCAGGGAGTGCAGTCCAGGGTGGTGACTGCTCCCTGTGCGCTTGGAGTCTGCTGGAGGCGGCTCCATCCTCAGCTCCATGGGCCTCCACTTGGTGGCCTCTCTGTTGCTCCTGGGGAACCGGCCACAGCGGGCAACCCTAGGCACTTAGTAGCGTGTCTGGGAGCTGGGCTCTGTAGAGCCCCATGCAGGAGGCAGGCCCCAGGAGCACACCATCCCCCACCAACCTGAGGCTGAGCCTGCGTCCCAGGACTGACCCCGGGGAGGCCAGGGGCCTCCCCTTCTTCCTGAGGCCTGGGCCTGCCCTGGCAGCCTGAGAAATGTCACCCCAGGGGCTTCTAGGAGGCACAGGACTCCAGGGCCCACTCCTCCAAGCAGTCTTCTGCCCAGGCAGAGCCTGAGGGGACACAGGTCAGAGCAGGGCTGGTGAGACCCTGCCTGCATGGACGGGATGGGGTAGCAGTCTCTTCTCAAGCAGCTGCCCTGGGGAGCTGGGCCTCGTGCTTTGATGCCAACTCCCTGGGCAGGGGACAGCCAGGATAGGGACAGACAGAGGATAGGGGTTTGAGGACAGGGAGGCCCCAAAGAAGGCCAGCTGGGGTACAGGCACCTGGGCAGCCTGAGGCCCACCTCCCTAGGCAAAGGCTAGTGCCTGGTCCGGTTCCCCTAGGCAGAGTGAGGGCCCAGGACGCAGGTGGGCCCGCAAGCAGCATGCAGAGGTGGGCCCAGGGCAGGCAGCCTCGGTGGTGGGGAGCCCCTGCCTCCTCCCCGGGGGTGCTGGGAAGTAGGAGGCCAGGGTAGAGCCAGGGCCACCTCAGATCCTGCCTGTGCTGGGCCCAAGGTGCCCTGGACTTGAGGACTCTGGGCTAGAAGCTGGTCAGGAGCTGCCGGGGAACAGTGTACCGAGAGCATCTTCCTCTTGGGTGGAAGCACCCTGTCCCTTCCTCCTCCCAACTGACTGGCGTCCCCACACTCCCTGCCCGCTGGAGGGCCAGACTGAGGTGAAAGCTGCAGGTTGAGAGGTGAGAAGAGGGGCGGCGGCGCCTGGCTGGCTACCCCGCAGGGCAGGCGGGGTCAGGTGGTCAGGGGTCCTATATACAGGTCTGGCCAGGCAGGGTGGGCGGCCTCACTCTGGGGTGTAAGACACCTGCCACACGATGATGTGGCTGCGCTCCGCCTTGGACAGCACGGGCTTGACCTGGCTCACATCCCCTATGCCCTCCTCCGTCTCATCATCCTCTCCGTCTCCTGCGGGCAGGGCAGCAGTCAGGGCCAGGCTCCCCGCTCCCATGCCCAACCTCAGCCTCGCCCCCAGGGCCGCTCACCTATGCGGAAGTCGATGTAGCCCTCCCCACCGCTCAGCACCAGCACGTTCCGCAGCTTCTGGCCCTCGGCTTCTGAGGTGGGGGCGGCCGGCCCAGGGCCCTCGGCTGGGCTGTCCAGGACACTCCCGTTAAGGGTGGCCAGCACGTTCCCTAGGATGGCAGAACCAATTCAGGACAGCAGCCTCCTGAGTGCGGTGGCAGTGGCCACTGGCCTGCCGGGTGTGGATGGTAGGAGGGACCCAGCCTCACCTGGCACCGAGACGAAGAACTTGACTGCATCGCGGTGTCCATGGAAGCAGAGCTGCGCCTGGGCCATGGAGCAATAGGGGATGAAGCTGCTGGCCGCCCTGTCACTGCTGTCATCACCGTATACGTGGATGATGCCCCCAGGGCGGGCGCCCTCCCCCGAGGTGGGGGACGTCTTATTGGCTGCAGGGAGAGAACCCGGAGGCGCTGAACCCACACACAGATGGAGGGTGGGAGAGGCTCCCGTGGGGGGTTGGGAGGTGGCCAGGCTTACCTCGGAGCCCCAGGAGCTGGCCTCGGTGCAGGACCACAGCTGGGGACGTGGGAGGAGCAGGGGAGAAAAGGAGACAGGGATTAGCATAGGGGCAGTGAGGCACCCTCCCAGGTGGCCGTACAGAGCCACCCCCTGGGAACTCATGGGCACCTCTGGCAGCACCACCACCCCTACAGGGGTGCAGGCCACTCACTCTCTGTCAGGGGGATGGAGATGACCACTCCGTTGCCAGTGCCCACCCAGAGCCGGCTGCCTGCGACAAGCAGGGCCGTGATGCGCACAAAGGAGAAGCCCAGCTTGCCGGTGCCTGTTGGGGAAAGCGGTCAGGGCGGCTGGCCTTGAGCACCCTGCTGTCCCACCCGCCTGGCGCAGCCCCTCACCCAGCATCTTGCTGACGTAAGGCTCGATGTCCACGTCCTGCAGGTGCTGGTGGGTGTGTGCGTGGTAGAGCCGCAGGGTGGAGTCCAGGCGGATGGACACCCACACACCATCGCCGATCCATGCCAGCTGCCGCACCTGGCTCTCCCGCCGAGGGTGGGCGTCAAATGACTTCTGTGGGGTTATGGCAGTCCATCAACAGGGCTGGGGAGAAGTGGGAAGCCCCAAACCTGTGGCCCCCTTCCAACTCCCAGCCAGTGCCTGCTTTGCCCCTGTTAGGGCCTGAGTCACAGGCAGTGCAGGGGGGCTGGGACCCACACAGGGCCTCCTGGACTTCTGTATAGAAGGTGTGGGAGCGCTGCTGGCCGGCAGAACCCCTTGCCCTCCCCGGGCAGGCCCGCACCAGCACTCGCCTCAATCTGCATGGTCTTGGGCTGGATGACGTGCACCTTGTTCTTATACCCACACCACACGCGGTCGTACACAACCGCCATGCAGCGGATAGAGTGGTGCGGGTGGCCCAGGTCCATCAGGTGATAGTTGCTCAGATCCCACTGGCCATCTGCAGGGAGCCCAGATACCTCAGGCCTGGCCAGGCCCCACCTCTGCTCATGGCATCAGGGGTTGAGACACCCAGTGCCAGGCTAAGGAGAGGTCTGGAACCCCTCCCAATCACTGGCAGGGCCGTCGGCTGCCACCCACATGCCCCATGCCACCAGGCCCCACCTTCACCACGGTGGAAGATGGCCAGGGTCCCGTCTGCCAGAGCCACCAGCACACGGCCTTTGACATGCCTGAAACAGGAATGCGGTGAGCCTAGTTAGGGCCAGGCTATGCTAGTCCCTCCACCCAGTCCCCCCACCCCCGATGCCCGGCCCTCAGCCTGGGGTCACCCACACCAGGCTCAGCACAGAATCCTTCAGCT